TTGCACACTGCAACTCACCAGCCAGTCAGGAACCCAGGTGTCTTGTTCGACCCTCAACTGTCTTTTCTTCCCCATATCCAAGCCATGACCCGCTCTGCCTTCCCTCACCTCCGTAACATCGCCCGATTACACCACTACCTCATCCCTCAGGGCGCTGAAACTCTAGTTCATGTCTTCGTCACCTCCAGGCTTGACTATGAAAATGCCCTGCTTGTCGGCCTTCCCGGCTCCTCCCTCCACAGGCTGCAGATAATCCAGAACTCTGCAACCCGTGTCCTCTCCCGCACCAAACTCTGTGACCCCATCTCCCCCAACTCCACTGGCTCCCTATCCTTCAGAGGATCCAGCTCAAGATCCTGGTCCTCACCTACAAAGCCCTCCATGGCCTCGCCCCACCGTACCTCTGCGACCTCCTAACTCCCTACCAACCCACCCACTCCCTCCGCTCATCCGGATCTGGCCTGCTCCACTTCAGCCATTCTGCCCCCAACCTCTGGAATTCCATCCCCCAATCACTCTGCCTCGCCCCCTCCTTAGCCTACTTCAAGTCCCGCCTCAAGACCCTCCTCTTCGACCATGCCATCGGTCACCCCCCTTCCCTTCTCCTCCCTTCTCTCTCCCTGACCCCAGCTTGTGTCTGAAATACTGTACTCTGTCCAGCGCCTTGGGACGTCCTCCTGACGTGAAAGGCGCAATACAAATGTAATCATATTGTATATTTACATCTTATAACTATTGATTTAAGTGAAGTACTTAATCAATCAATGCTTAACTCATTCATGTACTCTTCTCCCCTATTGCTGAAGAGGAAGTGAGAAAAAAAAACTTAAGTTTTCCCTGATATTCTAGTTAAATGGCATAATACAAAATGTGCCTGCGCTGTTTCAATTTTACATTTTTCAGAATATCTTAAATAGAAACCACCAGAAACCCATAAATAATCTATTCTTAGTCTGTTTTCAAATATTAGGCTTGAATACTTTAGCAAAGTACGTTTGTTGCTTTTTTTTAAGAGAAAATATATCCTTTGAAGTCATTTTTCTTACAATTCCTTCCTTCTTCCCAAGTGTCATCTATTCACCCATTTAGTAACAGGTAAGCAACCTGTTCAAGAAACCATGCGCATTTGTAATTTAACAGGAATACCACCAGGAAGCCATGGTTTCTTTCCAGATTGTTGCTACAAATTGTAGACAGAGTCACTGTGATGAAATGCTTCTCTTTCTCAACAGATCCAGGATGTGTGAGACATGAAAAGGTTCAGCAAAATTAAAAAATAGGTCTGTTGGGCACTGTTTTTTTAAAAAAGATTGGCTTTTTTCAACAACTGTCTGATCTTCAGTTAGCAGTACAGGTTAATCACAGCATTTTTCTGCTTCATGAAATTGGAGATCAGAGCTAGAGAACAAGTGCAGCCTGCACTGCGGATAACTCCACCGGGTCCAGAATGGAATTTTTGTTGGTGGCCAGGTTTTTTGACATAACTAGTCTTCACTAGGAAAATATGCAGCTGTAGCCATCAAAGAGCATGACATGAAGAAACGCTGATAGTTTCATGTACTTGCTCTCCCAAGATTATATTGAATCATTCCAGTGAACTAACAACAACAAAATTACATTTATATAGCACCTTTCAAGTCGGGAGGACATCCCAAGGCGCTGGACAGAGTTACGGACCCAAGCTGGGGGTCGGGGTGGGGGAGGGTGGAGGGCAGGGGAGGAAGCAGAGATCGAAAGCATGGTCGAAGAGGAGGGTCTTGAGGTGGGTCTTGAAGGTGGCGAGGGGGGGTGGCAAGACGGAGGGACTGCGGGATGGAGTTCCAGAGGGTGGAGGCAGAGTGGCAGAAGGCCCGCCCGCTGATAGTGGGGCGAGCAAGGCGGGGGACGCGAAGCAGACCAGAGCCCGCTGAGCAGAGGGAGCGAACAAGGTGGTAGGGGGTTAGGAAGTTGGAGAGGTAGGAGGGATCAAGACCGTGGAGGGCCAGCATCTTGAACTGTATCATCTGTGTGATGGGAAGCCATTGGAGTTGGGCAAGGATGGGAGTAATAGGGTCACAGAGCCTCGTGCGGGAGAGGAATTCTGGATAATCTGCAGCCTGTGGAGGGAGGAGTTGGGGAGGCTGACAGCAGTGAGTTTGCATAGTCGAGCCTATGCGATGACTATGCAAACTGAATGCTTAGCATAAGTTCAAAACACAATGGTGCCTGACACCAATCATAATAGTACCTCTCAGTTTCTAGCAACAGCAAAAATAGAAGACAGTTGCTAGTTTTCAAAATAGGAAGCGACAAATACCTCTACCTCCAGCAAGTAGTGTTTCAAGTGAGGAACAGTGATCCACTATTAGGAAAGTATCATTTTTTTGCTTGGAATTATAATAGCATTGAGGTGAAACATATCCATATTCCTGTAAATTTATGTTTTTCACAATATGTGAGCAATTTGTGTTTTATTTGGGGTCAATTCTGCAGTCACACAGCAGCATTTTTTGTGACGTTGGCTGCACTATGTGCTTGGGCATTGTTTTCAGTCACCCACTTGATGTACATACAATAGGTTTGTGTCATTTCACAAGTGCAAAGAAGAAACCAATTTCAAAACAAAACTCTACACAAGAAGCCTTTTTCAAAAAGACATGTCCTGGAGGCAAATATTAAGCTGTGACGATCTATTTTATGTCATCCTTGAAATGATGTAAATGCAATGCAAAACTGAAACTAGTTTTAAGTTTTACAAGATTTTATTAATTCGATCATGTAATAAAACTCATTAAAAAAAATTAAGAAAATCACTACCACTCCCCCAAAAGGGTGACCTTAAACAGTGTACAAGTGTGTGTAGGGGATAAATTCACAAAATTCAGATTTGGTATCATTTTTAATTTGTGCTTTTTGCTCTACATCTTATGAAATTATACATAATTGGGCCTGTGTTTTTTTCTATAAAAGCATAACTGGAATAGTAACTTACAGTGAGCATTTGTAGTCTAACAGGAATACCACAATTGAAAAATGAACGTAAACCCCATTAAATTGTAGCTTTGAGCATTGCTATTGAAACTGAATAAGTTGTGTCTCAATTTTTGGGCACACCAAACCCGAGTTTTTAAAAATAAAGCCTTTTGTTAAACTCGCACTTCCTCCTAAATAACAAATATACAAATTACAGGCTTAGAAGAGTGGGAAGTAAATCAGAGACAGTGGCCCATCACTGAGGGCCCATCACCTGACTGCCTGATATCGACCATCAATTACTTCACATTACTTGAACTATTATGCTGAACAGATGAAATAAGACAATAGATTAATATTGTTGGACTTAATAATTGTCAAAAGGTACAGAACTTGAAACACCTGCCATACAGTAGGTACAACTCTAGATGACTGAATACACATGTACTCAGACACCACGCGTTTTTGATGGAAAATATAGGAAGGCAAACACCTTAATGAATAAGCAGCAACTATGTAAGGTTAGATGGTGCAACAAAGAATAACAAATGCAATAAAGTTGAAGAATGATTTTGATTTGTATCAAACACTGGATCAGAGATATGATATGCTATTTGCAGATAGTTACCTTACAGTCTGGAATTAACGTAGACATCACTTGGCCTTCAGTTACTTGGTGTCATAATAGTCAAAATTTAATTGTGGGTTTTATAAATATACCACACATTGATCATGTGGTAACTCCACTGCCAAATTGAAAGAATGGCAATTTGTGAAAAATAATTTGAACTTGTAGCACGAAGCAGACAGACATTCTCCAGACCTGGGCTGAGCAATTGAGCCTTATGCTGACATAACCCAAATTGTTTTCCACAGTTCATCATCTACATTGGCAAGTTTATAAACTATTAAGTCCTGCTTTAATTTAAAACTTGCAATATTCAGTTTTTATTTTTACTTCGGGCGTGAGCTAATTTAAGAAGTTTATTTTGTGAAGCCTTCAGACTTATTAATAGGCAATCTATTGATCTCACAGGCTTTTAGGCAATACTTCGTTGCTGAAGTGAATATTGTCATAAAGTTCCTTTTTGTGCTGACGTTGTTACATTGCTGACATCATAAGTAATGGTTAAATCAAATGTACATTCATTATTTTAATGTTTAGTTGACCTGTAAAATCATAACGGTTCAGTGATGAAACAAATTTTCACCGCAATCTACACAGATGAGACACGACTTTCATTGACGGCCTCCATTACAGACGTGAGTGAACAGTTGATATGCATTCCTTACAAGCTTCACTGAAAAGGCATTTAGATCTATTTATACTTCTGCAATGGTCCCAACTATTGTGCCCATGAAAATTATTATAACAGCTGAGCTTATGAATATCCAACCCTGCCAATTGGATTTCGAAAATCCGAATATTAAGATCTTCACTGTCGGGTAAACATGGTAAAGTGTGCGGATGGATTTCTCCTCCACCTGGATAACAGTGTATAGTATTTCTGCTGTACCAGAAGATAAAACTGTGCTAGATTTCCCTTATAACCCGCTTCAAACCATATACAATCGACAAATGGTCTTTCATTTAGGATATTAATCTGTAATATCAAAATATCTGAGTAAATAATGGTTAAATATTAGAGAAAATGCTGATTTCACCATTACCCAATGCTGCAGTTTGTTCTGCATTTCTTATTTGTAATGTTACTCGCAAAGCCAATAAATAAGTGTTGTAAGATTTTGTGTTGCTATTTATGATCACATTACTGAAATAAAATATGCTGCATCAGTATAATTCCTGCTATGCATCACAATGAGTTAAACATATTATTTTTAAAATTTTAAAGCAACATCTTGCACATTAATTTTAAAAATGCTCATTGCTGTCAGCTCTGTATGTATTACTGATGCCACAAGCATTTCAAAGGTTGAATGAATGATGATTCTTTCTTGAAACATACCTTCCTTTTTCCCTAAAGAGTGAAATAAACGTGAACTCTTTCAGCAGTGATGGAAGTGTAATGAAAACAGAAACAAAATGGTACTTTATGCAACATATTTATCTCATGTCAACAAGCAGAACAACTGGATTCTCAATGACTTCTGTCGGCATCAGATGGACTTAAGAAGTTTGTAGTACAGAACTTGAAAGTACACTATCAGCTTTTCAATTAGTGCTTGGAAAGCCAAGTACATATATTTTCCAAGTTACATTAGACCTTGCCTTTAGTTATCGCTCTAATGCTCAATGTTTTCTAATTAAACTTTTTTTTTGTTTTTAAATTAACGAAATTCAACGATTCAACAATAACCATGTGATTGTTCAAGCCTCATCACAGCTTAAGGCAGCTGCATTACAGGTAAAACTGTAATATTTTACAAAACAATAAAGAAATCAACCTATTCCTCTATGGCTGTCATACCACTTACTTATTCTACCTGAGAATGACGATTGAAGAAATTCCTTGCCCTACAACAATATTGAACAATTTGTAACTTACACTCAACAATTGTCTTTAAAGAAATTTGTTTTCATTTTAGAAAAAAAACTGTATGGAATTTTAAAAAAAAGAAAAATGTTCTGCCGCCAAAATAAAAAGCTAAACTATCAAATAATGTACAACTTAGTTTGCAGACTAGAAGACAACCTACCAATGGAAAACTGGTAGTATAAATGCATTTATTTATGCCAGGTTAAGCAGACATCAATTCCCCAATGCAAAAAAATATTTCCAACAAGTATCTCACACAAAACATGTCATGTTGACCCATACTATACTGCCACTGCTCTTGACAAACGCAGACATGCCAATGAAACAGTTTAGTCCCCAGATAGAAGCGTCTCTTGCAGTTTTCCTCCAACCTCCCAGAAATGAATGGCAGCAACCACAGAACTTTCGACAACTTAGAATCTCAAGTGGGATTTGTGTTTCACCATATACCTAGTGTATTAAGAAAAAAAGGATGGATTAAAAACAAAAACATTGGTTACAAAGATCCATTGTACCATATCAACACTGATTTGAGGATTCATGTGACTGCAGTCCTAAGTTTTTAAAAAAAACATGTTTGGCTGGAATAAATTAACTGAAAGAATCCAATACTGCCGATTTGCACATCCTGCTTTCTCCCCTGAGAAAAAGGCACAACCGTTAGATACAAATGATGGTGCACTGCAGTTTTCTGAATACTGACGTGTCCTTGGAAGTCCTAGTTGAATGGTTTATGGTACTGAGGGGCTACATTTCACAGACAATCACTTGCATGCAAAACATGCTCTAAACTGGAACGTCCTCCCGACGTGAAAAGTGCTATACAAATGTAATCTTGTTGTAAACCCATATAAACAATGAATTCTGATTTGTAGCTCTACAGAAAATTGAAGATAAATACAGGCACATCAAGCATTCTGTGCAATCACATCAGCTCTTATCTTAGAAGTATTGGCTTATGGCTTATAATTACAACTGGTGCGTTAATGCTGGCCAGAAAAACCTTTGGCTTTGGATGCAGTCTTCAGATTAGTTAAAATAAAAACATTAACATTAAATTTCAATAAATTATAACTTTTGCTTAAGATAAAGTAACCTTATCTGAATCTAACCGAATCCCCAAAAGTCTATTTCAGATATCGTAGCCTTATTCCAAAGCTTTTTCTAGACATTCCAAAACGAACCACCAAAATAATTAGCCAGTCCCGTAAAAGCCAAGTTGAAAAACTAAACCCATCATTAAGCTCCAAACAATAAAAAAAAGTTATTTATATTTTAAAAGTTTTCAAAAAATGACAGTAATTGTCCTCAATTCAAGCTAACCAGAAACCTATCCTAAACCCTTCTTAAATGTTTTAAACATGTCTTCACTCAGTGCTTGATGTTGGTTCAGTCCACAAGTTCACAACGTGAAGACATTATTCCCAACATGAAAAATACTTTCCAATTTCGACTTTCTCCATTCACTTTATAATTTAATGAATTTGTCTTCCTCCATAGTTTAAATTACTAGGAATATACTAAGCTTTTTGATGATCATTTTTTGTGCCTTTGCCACATCCCAGAAGACATTTTAACCTGATTCATTTTGGAAATATTCAAAATGCACATTGCAGTCTGACACATTAAGCAGACCACAATTTCAGACAGTTCCTTGATTGTTGAGGAAAGCATCAGGCACATGCAGAAACGTTACTTACTGTATTTGGCAAATTACCCAACTCCCAGAAAGGTGGAGGGGCCAGCAGTAATTAATCACCCTCCACTCACCAGATTATTTATATAGGATCTTACGTCCTTGGTGACTATACTCTCAATTACACAATGGTTATTCTAATTACTACTTTCACATCTGACAGAGGCATAAGAATAGTTTAGTTTACGGTGCAGAAAATAGAAATTACCATCGGCTCTCAATGTGAATCTTGTTGCTTACATTCCTACTAATTTATCGCCAAGATTCCATCACTTATTTTACAAACCTGTCCAGGGTCTCCCAGAATCGCAGTAAAACAGCTCTGTCAAGATGGCGTTTGTGATGGCTCAGTTCAAGAACAGTTACATCCCATTTTTGCACATTTGGATCCAGGCGCATTTCATCATACTTGAGGTGGAACGCTTTTACTGCAAAAGAAATGTATATACAACCATTAACCTAAGTGAAGCAAATTTTGTCTGCCCGTTTCTGTTGGTAGCATTCTTGCCTCCAAGTCAGAAGGTTCAAAGGCTCTGAGACGCTACCCTGCATGAGGGGTGCTATATAAATGCAAGTTGTTGTTCCCAACCCACAATGGGATTTTGAACTTGTATGCTCTATCTGATACTTCAGTAATGCTGGAGGTACCATCCCTCAGATGAAACAAAGCAAGGTCACGTGCGTGTTTGTGAACTGTCAGAAAGAGATCATTTGCTTCATTGCTTTTTGTAAGACATCAATTTAGAGTCCTGTAGCTCAGTGGTTAGAGCACTCGCTTTGCAAGTGAGAGACCTGAGTTCAATTCCAGGCAGGGCGAAACCTTGGGCAAGTTTCCTTACTCCACACGCCAAATAATAATCCCTCCAAAACCAAAAACAATAATAAATATTGGTCATTTTCAATCTACGACTGTTTGTGGGATATTGCTGTGCGCAATTGGCTGCCGCGTTAGCCCACAAATATAGTCAATTCACTTTACAGTGTGTTCTGTGAAGCGTTTTGGGATGTCCTCCCGACGTGAAAAGCGCTATATCAAATGCAAGGATTATTATTATTAAAATGTGTGCAAATTGGTTGCCAGATTCTCCTGCACTTTATAGTAAATCATGTGAAGCGCTATGTCCTGAGGTGGTAAGGCACTATATCAAATGTAAGTATTATTTGAAGTGGTACTTTAAGGGCTTCACAACATATTCATGGTAGTCAATAGCCGTGCACCAATGCCTTATTTTACGAGAGAAAGCTAGTCAGGCAGGTACCTCAAAAGGTGTTTACACTTTCTGCCACCTTTTTAAAAAAAATTTACACTAAAGAAAATGCAAGTCCCAAGACAAAGGCCATTCATTCTTACACTGCTGCAGTCAGCAACCTGGCCTCATTCAGAAATGGCAAAATTCCTTTAACACAAGCTGGTGACTAAGTGACATGACAGGCAGCCGCCCTGCGACCTTCTGGTTGAGAGTCAAAGTTTTATCTATTCAGCCTCCAGGGAGGTGACTTTACACAGAGTAAATCAGCAATTTCTAAAAACCTTTGTAGCTTCAGTCTCATAGATTTTGCAGCAGTGGAAATGAAGGCATCTTACTGACAGCTTAAGTAGCAAGTCTGACCCGGAATCCAGCAGCTTCAATATCAAGGCTTATCTGAATGAGAAATAACTTGTGCACATTCTTCACAACTAGCATTAAAACAGTTAGTGTCAAGTGTGGTCTGGGACCTGTGGAGATGCTGTTAATATCAACAGAAGGCATAAACATCAGTTTGAAATGCTAGTTGCAACATAGCATAAATAAAACAGATAATAGCCAACAGTAAAATCTGATAAATCTCTCCACTTGTGAGGCAAATCATAACTCACTCACAAGCTTAATCACTCTTGAATTGGACAATCAGCCTCGCTTGTGGAGATATTTATCATACCTTGCTGCTGGCTAAGACATATCCCCAATAGCATTAAAAATCCAAATACGTTATCAAATCATTGTACAAGTAATTCAAAGCATAAACCAGAGACAGCCTTAAGCAGACAAACTTGATAAATAAACACCTTTATTATTGCTATTAAAATTAGTGGTGGTAATAAGTGGACTTACTAAGTCTTTTCTTTTTATAGTCGGTATACGGTTACATTTCACCCATTTTGAGTGATCTGAATAGACAAATCTAGTTAAAGCTAAAGAAATCAAAAGACAAACCCATTATGGAAAGGCCAAGTAGAGAGTAAACCTATTTCACAGCAGAAGCCCCTAGCTCTTCTACAATTAATTTTCATATGCACTTAATCTTGGAGTAGGTCAAGCATTCAGACTGGGAACTGTAAAACAGAGTCTCTCACATAATGGTGTTCCTTCATAATTGCTAATCATATGCACTGAAGCAATGTTATCTAAATAGATCAGTATTCTGCAACAAATTTCATTAATTGTATGTACTGCATCACGTTAAAATTATGTAACCTAGTTGGAAAGGTCATTTCGGTGAAAATATGTACAGTACACTTATAAATTGAGAAAATGGAATCTAATTCCTTGAATAATGAAGTTGAATTTTTAAAAACTTTTTACAGGTAATTTTGCTTCAATCTCCTTTCAAAGTTTGGAGGCTAATATAATAGATATTTGAAATACTACACTTTAATGCCAATCGTTGTATATTAAGTAATTCTACACTAAGAACTTTCCCAACAAACAAAAACTTTTTTAATTTTATGTTCAGACATTTTGGAAACCAGACAGAAAGTCCTTCAAGCAGGATGGTTGGATTCATAGTACTGGAAGACAAATGTATGGTTTGTAATCTTATTTATGGATGGGTTGAGGCAGGTGAGCTGCTTACTGACAAGGTGGGTAAATTGGTGGAAGTTGACCAAAAGCAGGCATGAAAACCAATTGAAAGAATGTTACAATATCCAAATGTATTTTTATCCTTTGAAACTAAATACAGCAGAGTGCATCAAAGTGCAAATTTTGAATACTTTGTGGAAAACCTATAGTGCCATGATTGATGAGTGACTACTACTTAAATTATCTTTGATTAAGCCATTTATAGGCTCAGTTATTAATTCTTAATAAAGTGATGTGTGCTTCAACCCACTTACATGCACTGGCAGGTAATTGATGATCCAGCAATGTAAAAGACTAGATAAACATGCTTTGGCAATTCATGAATTTTAACTTGTAAAACCTGGAACTTTTTATTTTATTCAAAAAGGTTTAAAAAAAACTAACCATTGTAATGACCATTTTCCAGTTGATCGCATAGTTTTGAAATTGTTAGAACAACAATCAAGTTTTATACAGAAAAAGCATATATGATGGAACTCTGAAATTAAAAATTAAGAGGCAAATCTGTTCTGGAAGGCTGAATTTCATCTGATCATTTTCAAAATGGTCCTCTACAAAATGCTCACTTCTCTCTCATTCCTGTGTGTTTCCGATTATAACACTTAGTTTTAGTCTCACTAAGTATTTCACTGAACAATTGACAGCAAATCAAGTTTTAGAATGAATCATCTCCCATAATGGCCTAATGGTAGTTTGTATTCCAAAACTTCTGAAATAATAATCCTTGCATTTGATACAGCATCTTTCACGTCAGGATGACGTCTTAAACTGCTGTACTCGGTCTACTATAAAATATAGTAACTGTGTATGCTTTTGTTGTGTCAACTGCTTACTAGTATGACATTAGTGACTATCCATAAACAGTAAATCTGTTTTCATCAACAAAATTATTTTTCGATATTATGACTTTTCAATATCTAGCACTGTTGAGACTTTTTTTAAAAAAAGGTTATTGCAGGTATTTTTAGGAATAGAAACATTACTTTTTGCAAAGATATCCACAGGTGATCCATCAGGTAATGACCACGGCCAACCCTTAAACTGCCAAGCAGCTCCCTGTACAAAAACTGCTACCACACGATCCCTGGAAAGGAATAGAAAGACAAGAGACTTAATGGAATTTCTCAGCATTAGATTTCTCACAAATCAAACGTGTGACCAACATTTAAAAAGCTGTACCTCCATTCCAATGTGCAATTTTTGGTTCAATCTTTTTCAGCTTTCCCTTTTGGTGGCATTGTTAAACCTCTCATTAAAGTTGCAACACCATTCTATGCATTTTTGATGTTCACTAAGAAATACAAAATATACACTGCTATGCCTTCAGCACATTTGGGATTAAACATATTTATTGCAGAACGTATGCAATATTTACAACATGCACAGATATGTCTTGCGTAGCTAGAGGCTTGATTAGAGGGCCTGCATCAGTCAGCCCCATTTATGAGCAGAAGTTCAAATCACCAGATGTGTTCAAGCTGTACATTACTCCAGTCAGGACACACCAAAGGTACTTCTTACAGTTGTTTCAAGTGCAAAGCAGGTTGATCTGCGGTATCAGTGGGCTGAGCTAGGAGAACAAATGGATAACTTGGGGCTCATCTTCAGCCTTGAAAAGAAAGACTTCTCAGAGGAGAGGTGGACGGTGGGAATTTATTAAAGGTCAGAAAATTAAAGGTCAGGTTTATAATATAAATATGTGAGTCAGTCTCAGTTGGAACTCACTATGTTGGCCCTGTACTTTACTGGTAAAAAAAAGTACATATGGAGAAATTAGAATTTAAAACTAACAATTGTTGGAATGTTGCCTGATCCTATTCACATATTTCTAGTACTCAGATGTTTATAAAAGTTCTCTTCCTGTTTACTCTTTTCCCTCAACTCTTTACACTTCACTATCCAGAACCCCTTTTTCACTCCACGTGGCTTTACTCATCAGCAAACAGCAGTATTTCCCACAAAAAACAGCCGTTGAAAAAAATGCAACCGAGGTCAGTCAGCTCTCAATGGACTTCAGTCCATGAGCAATGGGCCGTGGAAAGGAATTTGCTGTGATTAAATTCACAGGAGTTCCTCTGTAGCATGGGGTAGAATCAACAACAACAAAATTATATTTGTATAGCGCCTTTCATGTCAATGGGAAACTTTTAAAGATATAGTACATAATTCCCAGCGATCCCATATCCCTTGAGGAATAAAAATACCACGGGAAAAGTGGTTCAACCATGGATAACTAGAGCAGTTAGGGAAAGTATAAAATAAAAAGAGATCTATAATACTGCCAAAAAGTGCAGTAAACCCGAGGATTGGGAGGGCTTCAGAGACCAACAAAGAAAAACTAAGGAACTGAATAGGAGGAAGAAAATGGATTATGAGGGCAAACTTGCTAGGAACATAAAGACAGACTGCAAGAGGTTTTACAAATACATAAAGAGGAAGAGACTAGCAGAAGTGAATGTGGGTCCATTACAGGCAGAGACGGAAAAATTATAATGGGGGATAAAGTTATGACAGAGTCATTAAGCATTAAGTATGAAGCAGTCTCTGCTTCATACAGAGCCCAACAGCATTGATACATGTGACAGTTTGGTTAATAATAATCCCTCCAAAATAAAACAATAATAAATTGGTCATTTTCAATCTACGACTGTTTGTGGGACATTGCTGTGCGCAATTGGTGGCCGCGTTCGCCCACAAATATACAGTCAATTCACTTTACAGTCTATTCTGTGAAGCGCTTTGGGACGTCCTCCCGACGTGAAAAGCGCTATATCAAATGCAAGGATTATTATTATTATTATTATTATTAAACAAATACTTTGCTTCTGTCTTCATGTTAGCAGACACTGAAAACTTGCCAAAACTAGTGGGGAACCAAGAAGCTAATGTTAGTGAGCAACTTAGGGAAATTAACATCAGTAAAGAATTAATACTAGGGAAACTGTTGGGATTGAAAAATGACAAATCCCCTGGACCTGATGGTCTGCACCCTAGGGTTTTAAAAGAGGTGGCTGCTGAGATAGTGGATTCCTTGTTTCTGATCTTCCAAAATTCTCTAGATTCTGGAACAGTTCCCATTAATTGGAAGATCGCAAACGTAAAGATGGGGAACTATAGACCAGTCAGTCTGATATTGGTGGTAGGGAAAATTCTAGAATCCTTAATTAGGGACATCATAGTGGGGTATTTAGAAGACCATAACATGATTAGGCAGAGTCAATATGGCTTTACAAAAGGGAAGTCATGCTTAACAAATCTTTTAAGAGTTTTTTGAGGATGCAATTAGCAGGTTAGATAGGGGGGAACCAGTAGATGTAGTATATTTAGATTTTCAGGCCTTCGACAAGGTGCCACATAAAAGGCTGCTACACAAGATTAGGGCCCCTGGAATTAAAGGCAATATATTAGCATGGATCGAAGAGTGGCTAATGGGAAGAAAACAGAGAGTAGGGATAAACGGGTCCTTCTCAGTTTGGCAAGATGTGACTGGTGGAGTGCTACAAGGATCAGTGCTTGGGCCTCAACTATTTACAATCTATATCAATGATCTAGATGAGGACATAGAACAAAGTATCTAAATTCGCGGATGATACTAAGCTAGGTGGAAGAGTAAGCTCTGAGGATGATACAAAAAGATTGCAAATGGATATCGATAGACTAGGTGAGTGGGCAAGAAGATGGCAGATGGAATATAATGTGGGGAAGTGTGAAGTTATTCACCTAAGTAGTAAAAACAGAAAAGCAGATATTTTCTAGAAGGGGAGAGACTAGATAATGATAGTGTTCAGAGGGATTTGGGTGTCCTTGTACACTAGTCACAAAAAGTAAGTATGCAGGTACAGCAAGCAACTAGGAAGGCTAATGGCATGTTGGCGTTTATTGTAAAAGTGTCCGAATACAAGAGTAGGGAAGTTTTGCTGCAACTGTGTAGGGCCTTGGTGAGACCGCACCTAGAATATTGTGTGTAGTTTTGATCTCCTTATTTAAGAAAGGACATACTCGCCTTAGAAGGGGTGCAGTGTAGATTCACTAGGTTGGTTCCTGGGATGAGGGGGTTGACCTATGAGGATAAGTTGAGTACACTAGGTCTATATTCTCTAGAATATAGAAGAATTAGGGGTGATCTTATAGAAACATATAAGATTCTTATGAGGCTTGACAGAGTAGACAGTGTGAGACTGTTTCTCCTGGTAGAAAAATCTAGAACTAGGGGTCACAGTCTAAAAATTAAGGGTCAGCCCTTTCAAACAGAGTTGAGGAAACGCTTCTTCACTCAAGAGGGTAGTGAATTTATGGAATTCTCTACCCCAGAAGGTTGTAGATGCTCAGTCCTTGAACATATTCAAGACTGAGATTGATAGATTTCTAAAGTATAGAGGGATTAAGGGATAGGCAGATATGGGGCAGATTGAGTTTGGTTAGAAGGTCAGCCATCATCTTATTGAATGGTGGGGCAGGCTCGAGGGGCCGAATGGTCTACTCCTGCTCCTAATTCCTATGTCAGGAGGACGTCCCAAGGCACTGGACAGTCAGTGTTTCAGACCTGAGCTGGGGGTCGAGATTGGGGAGGGTGGAGGGCGGGGTGATCAAAAGCACTGTCGAAAAGGAGCGTCTTGAAGGAGGCAAGGGTGGGGGGGGGGGTCGGACTGTGGGTTGGAGTTCCAGAGGGTGCGGGCAGAGCGACAGGTGCCAATGGTGGGTCGGGCGAGATGGGGAACATGAAGCAGACCTGAGCCCGCTGAGCAGAGGGAGTGGGCAGGATAGTAGGAGGTCGCAGAGGTAGGGGGGGAAGCAAGACAATGGAGGGCTTTGAAGGTGAGGGCCAGAATCTTGAACTGAATTCTGTGTGATGGGAAGCCAGTGGAGTTGGGCGAGGATGGGGATGACAGGGTCACGGAGCCTGGTGCGGGAGAGAACACAGGCTGCAGAATTCTGGATGATCTGCAGCCTATGGAGGGAAGAGTTGGGGAGGCCGATGTTGTGGAAGTGGGGGGAAGGCAGAGCGGGTCATAGCAAGGATGTGAGGTAGAAAGGATAGTTGAGGGTCAAATAAGACGCCAAGGTTCCGGACTAGCTTAGTAAAATAGAATTCAATGCAAGCAAACAAGGCTGCCTAGAATTTAATCTCCATCTGTCATTAGTTTTTTTTTTAAAATGTGCAACTTAGATTTTAAATACAGTGGAGGTCGCTTAAATCGGACACTGTTTATTCTGAACAAAATGCCAGGTCCTATTAGTTTCTATTGTAAGTCTATTTAAAATATTCCGGTTTACTTGGACATAAATCTGATTAATTCAGACAAAATACCTCATTGGTGGCGGCCACTACGTGGAAGTTTTTGATACCACTCACTCGCATATTCTGTGAAGATTAGCTCACCCCTCTTTTCACACGCCTCTAAAACGTGCTGACATAGGAGCGGCATCTTTTCAGGATTTGCTAAGTGTGGCCTCCTGCAAAATCCACTAATCCTCTTACACAGTCATAAAAAAAAACTCTTGCAATCAGCTTGAGCAAAAATCATGTTAAAGAAAGTGTAGCAAATACTCCCACAGAAGCTGGAATCAAGAAGGAGCTGCCTGAGTCTCATCTACGAGAATGATCCAGAGGACTCAACATCAAGAAATCAACACTTGTTGACCTAATTGCCAATTGTTTGGGGGAAAAGAATACTATACAGTATTTAAATCTATAAAGAAACAATCTTTTTTTGCTTATACAGTTCACTACGCATTCTTTCCAGCCCTTTACATACACACCAGGTATCCTCTAATTGGTGCTGTAATAGGTTGTGCAATGAACACAACTTGGTACTATTTCATGTATTGTCTTCGGATAACTGGATGCCTGATAATTCAGACAAATGCCCTGCCCCAACATGTCTGAATTAAGCAGCCTCCATTGTATTTAAAAACACACTCTTCAAACATTAGGTTCCATTCGCTAGAACTTCTCCCCAACACAAAATAGTTTTAGTTTCATTGACTTGGCACAATTTTTCTCTCCCACCAACTCCAACACTCCAGTCCCCCCTTTATCATTAGAAACATTTGTAAATGCTCATGGTCTATTTCCTTAGAATTCTGCTCCTCCTGATTGTAATGCACACCATTGGGCAAACTATGTCATCGGAAAAGGTATGAACGAAAATACAATCAATTAAATCAAAAGGAGGTTATATTCATTAGTATTATATGTATATTAATTAATGTAATTTCAAAAAAGGAACATACCAATCTTGTGGAAGAAGTTTAAGAGGCTGGTCTATCACTCGATAAGGCACTGTTACACTAATTGAAGCTCCTCCTGGCTGCACTTGGTCCTTTCGTCGCTGGATCAAGATTTCATTCTCTCGCTGACATCCTTGTTTCTTCTTTTCATCTGATGGGAAAAACCTAATGAAGAAAAAACATGGGAGATATCACAGCTATTTTTTCCACTGAATAAAATCTCATAAGATTACACTAGAGAAATTGAGATTTGGGACAAGATTATCCATTAAACAGATTTGATTGATTTTGCTCAAATTTATAAATACAAATTGGAGAGCTAAGATCTAGAAGGAATGTATATAAAGCAGTTATTCAATTTAATGCAGTTTTCCAGCAATTTGTCCATTTTGAAAATAAGGACATTAAGAAACTACAATAAAGATCAAATCAGCTTGTTGTCGATTGCAGCTTGAAAGACGTACATTAACCATCCTTTATTGTTTTGCTACCACCATCCATGTAACCTTAACTCCCTAATGAATCAAGCTCCAATAATGAATGGTTCATCTGAGAGCATTTATCGTGCTTAACCTCAAAGTTTATTCCATAAGCCTGTGTGACAATTTTAGCTGAGTTACTTACCACCTTCAGCTAAACTTCCCCAATTCTCTCCACGTTCCCCAATTCTGTCCACACTCACTTTATTTTTCTCTCCATTAAAATACATATTTTCTCCTTGCTCCTCAAATCTTCTTAATGAATTCTCCCAATAAAATAGATAATTTGTATTCCTTAATACAGATTAGATGCACTATTGTCAATCTGTAAATGCTTTCTACTGAAAAAGCCACCGAAATCTTTATTGCGCACACATTTTGAAAACAAAATGGTACAATATTTGGCAAATACCATCAAATTCCATTGGGTATAAAAATAACTGTCGAGTCTAAGGCAAGGATTCACACGTGTATAAGGAGAGAGAAACATGAGGGGCAAAGGCTGGGCCATATTGGCCTCAAAATATCTTTAAAAAGTCCCCAATTCTCCCATTAATAAACTTATTTTATAATGGAACAATGGAATTTGATGACTCAGAGGAAAACGATTTCAATATACATTTTTTTAAATAACGTACCATACAAATTGGTAACTTGTAGGATACAAACATTGGGAAATGTGAACTTTCCTTGCTAACAAAGCAAGTTGCAATGCAGCATTTAAAATACTGAAAGAGTACAACGAGAGTCTGGAGGAAAACAACATTATTGCATTGATCAGCAGCAGGTAGAAATTCACAAGCTGAAACACCGTTTTCTGCTAAATACTCCAATTTAATTGAATACAATAAGCAAAACAGTTGTTCAGATTTAATAGTACATAATCAGACTGAGCTCAAGACCTTGTCATTCATAGCCAAGTCTTTAATGATGCACCTTATTCAAAGACAAACCTCGTATTCTACAATTATGTATTTTTTTTCCATTTGCAATCAATTATCATTAGATTTCAACAATGAGCTAGTTAAACATCTGCACATCACATTGAATTGTATTCCTTTCCTCTGAATATCACGATTTTACATACAATTTACAGTATTAATCCATTACCCCCCACCGTGACCATTTAAATCTATTCCTTTGCTACTTTCTCGGTAGATCAAGGGTCAAAGAAATGTATTCAAACCAATAACAATGTATTCAAGTAATAACATTGCTCATATTGCATTTCTTAAAAGAATGGCACCAAGAATTATTGCAAAATCTCTGCTATAGACCACTAGCAAGTAAGAAAATTATAATTTATATTTAGCAAATTATACTTGATACTCAAAGAATTGCTAATGAGACAGTAATTTCTTCAAACTGTATCTAAGGTTGATTTGTGTAATTGATCATGGGTGAGCTGAATGACAACTTCTCAAATGCATTGCACTATTGGAATGAGAAGAATGAAAATAATGGCCCAGCAACGTAGATTAAAATAAGCAATTCAATGTGTTAGCATATCCTAGAAGTTATCATAAACACCAAACTAGTAATAATAGATTAAAGATTTCAGTGTGAGGAACATCAGTCCTAAATCCATACTCTTTAAAAAAAGTCACCCTTCAACTTGTTTCAGCTATTCTTTTGACCAAGACTGTTAATTAATACTAAATTATAGGTAGTTTATTGCTCTGTATTCACTAGACTAGTTAAAAGCTGCTCAACCTCTCACTGTGAAGATGAAGACAAACATGATGAAAGGTAACTCAGGCAAGGTAAGAATTTACTGATCCCATTGAACCGCACCTCAGTTGAAGGAAAAGTCAAACAGTTTGAGGAGGAATGGGAGATTTGATTTGTTTTATGGATTAGGATTGTTTCAGCAATTAAGCTACCTCTAACGTTGATGCAGGTTAATTACTCGTTTTTTTAAGAGCAGCACAGTGCATTAGCTGAAGGTACAGATTGCCTAGCTACCAAGTGAAGTTTCCATAGAGCTGCTGTCATTAATTAGAAAAGTGTCAACTGTATTTGGAACAATGGATGTACACCTTTGACAACACGTTCTCAAAACGATTGGATCAGACATTTAGCAAAATGTCACTGTAATCTCTGCATCAGGATGCAAACAAAACGGCAACAGATTTTATGACCGGCACAGAATGGCTAATAAAATAGCCACTGTCTATTAGTTACCCAGTACAAGATTGAGATTTTTGTTCTCAGCAACCACCGATAGCAAATCTATAAGAAATCTAGATTGTTACAGCGTTCGCTGACTGCACTGTTGTGTTCTCAAATAATAAAAAAGGCTGCAGTTCTACATTCCCCCCAAAAATAATAAAAATGAGGTTTAATGACACCTGTGTACGCCACTGACTTACATTATTTGTCCACAAATTGAAAATTGGTTCAGCAAGATTTTATACCTTCCTCTTAACAGCCTCTTGTACTTGGGAGGGTTGGATTGTGGTTCATTTCTGGATGCAGAATTGAAACCACCCCTGGCACACAGCCATAGCTGTAAATGGCGTAGCATTTTGCCTTCCTCTTGCTGCAATACAATAATAAATCCTTCCATTTGATGTTCCACCCCAATCAGGATCCCAGTCAGTTGTGTGAAGCACTTAGAGATATCCTCCCAATGTGAAAGATACTATATAAATGCAAATTGATGTTGTGGTATGCCTATAATGTCAGAAAACCTCAAAGTGCTTCACAGGAAATTGCTATCAAGTGTAATGACTGTTTTTTGTAAGTAAACACAGCAGCCAAGGCACAGCAAAGTTCCACAAGCATCCATGAAATAAATGACCAATTTACCTAGACGATGAATGGTCAGAACACTGACATTAGACAAACCTCTCTCTTTTCGAACAGGGTCATGGGTTCTTTAAGACCCACCTGAACAGGGGCCTTGGTTTAACATATCATCAAAATGCACCTCTGACAACACAACACTCTTGGACTGGAATATCAGCCTGAACCCTAGCATTATGCCTCATAAGTTATAACCAAGAAGAGCAACTCAATGCCTGTAAAGCCAATATCAGCAGACTGGAATTCCAATGCAAGTACTCCCAGCCCATAAAATATAGTGATTCGATTTACTCTTTCAGCCAGATCCTGACCAAAAATCTTTTATATTAAATGTATTACATTTACAAAAGGTTTAGGATCCTCTGGTAAATAAAGTTTAAAGGTTATATATACCTAGTTGTAACCTGGTAATAGGTAAACAAGAGTTAATCCATCCTATAACGATTTTCAAGAATCACCACATTTACAGATAAATTGCTTTTACAGCCCATTGAATGTAATGGGACTATAAATACTTCAGAAGCATTTCTGTTTAAAGCACACAGAGGTCCTAGACTCATAAAATACATATCGCATTGTTGGCTGTTTCTTCGTATTTATGAAATGTACTGTTTACTCATTCGCTGGGAGAAAAAAATCTAACCTGACCAGCTTTAAGATCGAATTTTGTGCAAGAAAATGTACTCAAACTCAATGAGGTGTCTTTATGATTGTTTTGTTAAACTGTATGCGACATTCTGAATGAAAATAAAAAACTTCTAGATGGCATCAACAGCTGTCGCCCAGCTATGAGTAAAGGTTACCAAAACAATTTAGTTTAACTCCATCAACTCTAAATAAACATCCATATTTTCAGATTCATGGACTTTCAGAAATGCACTGCCAGTTTAGTTATCTTGCGTTTGTTAATAATGAATGCAACTATCAGTGGAGTCTGCGCTTTAATAACATAACATGTAGGAGCAGGAGTAGGCCATTCGGCCCTTCGAGCCTGCCCCGCCATTCAATCATGGCTGATCTAATCTAACTCCAGCTAATAACCTGACCCTGCCTTATCTCCATATCCCTTAATCCCTTTTGCAGTAAGAAATATATCTATCTCAGTCTTGAATATGTTCAAGGACTGAGCGTCAACAACCCTTTGGGGTAGTGAGTTCCATACATTCACCACCCTTTGAGTGAAGAAGTTCTTCCTCAACTCAGTGTGAAAGGGCTGGTCTCTGATTTTAAGGTTGTGACCCCTGGTTTTAGTTTCTCCAACCAGGGGAAACAATCTCCCACTATCATGCCCTTTGATGATCTTATAGATTTATATAAGATTCCCTCTAATTCTTCTATATTCTAGAGAATATAGGCCCAAATTGGTCAGCCTATCCTCGTAACTCATCCCCTTCATCCCTGGTACTAACCTAGTAAATCTACGCTGCACCCCCTCCAAGGAAAGTACATCCTTCCTTAAATAAGGAGACCAAAACTGCACACAGTATTCCAGGTGTGGTCTCACCAGGGCCCTATACAGTTGCAGCAAGACTTCCCTACTCTTATACTCTAATCCTTTCATAATGAATGCTAACATACCCTTCGCCTTCCTAATTGCTGCTGCACCTGCAGACTAACTTTCTGTGATTGGTGTACAAGGACACCCAAGTCCCTCTGGACGCTAACACATTCCAATCTCTCCCCTTCTAAAAAGTAACCCGCTCTACTGTTTTTGCTACCGAGGTGGATGACTTCACACTTCCCTACATTATACTTCATCTGCCACCTATCTGCCCAATCACCCAACCTATCTATGTCTCGCTGCAGTTTTTTAATGTCGTCCTCCGTGTTGACACTTCCTCATAGTTTTGTGTCATCCGCGAATTTAGATATATTAAC